AAAAATACAATCATCAATTTATCACTCTGAGTATTTTTACTGCAGAGTTTCATGCAGTGTTTTTCATAAAATCGTTTTTAATTCAGTTATCTTTGAGGCTGCTTATTTGGCACCTATGGTTTCGATTTAGTATCAATACCTCTGTATCAGATTCCGGTATTGTACTGAAGCCAAAATTTCGGTATTGTACTCTCTGTCCTTTCATAAAGAATCATATAGAGCTTTTTTCCTTTCTGTCACCATAACATATAATGCCAATAAATGGCAACTGCAACCGTAGGTTAGTGGTCTCAATTTGCCCATTCTGAGGGGTGTTTCCTTCTCTGTAGTAGAACAGGCTAGCTGGGAAATGGAGAAAACTGCCAACATGTGTAATAGATGTCAGAATAGGAGAGCAATTTACAGTAAGTGGGTTTAACTTCTTTCTGTCTTATCTTAGAGAAATCGTAAGAATCTGGAAGATTACCACCTAAAGCGAATCTCAATTGACAGCCAGTAGTGTTGTCCCCGTATCCCTGACAATGCTAGATTACTCACCTCTATCAACTTGAGAGACACTTACCTTCATGCTCTGAGCATCTATCTAACTGATGTCTGCCTCTGTGCCGATAGAAAAACCCAATTGACGCATGAAACTCACATTCAGCTGCCTCTTTTTCTATGTGGACACCACACAGCTATTGTAGAGACAGAAAACATAATTTAGTGGACCATTTGGATGAGGGTCAGGGGTATGTGCACAGTTATTTTTGAAGGCACTGACACCTGTGTGCTTACCTTATGGGCTTGCCGTCATTAAGAAGAGTGTGGAGGACCTCAAAGAGAGAATCACAACTGCAAGTTGTGATTCTACAAGTGTTGAAGGGAAGATACGATGAAACTGAACCGAGGAAGAACGGACACAATCAATCTCTGCTTTAAGATTCCACAGAGTGAACCTGACCCACTAGTTCAACAGTCAGAAATAGGTCTCTATCACAATTCCACACTTGTGAAGCAGAAATTCCAAATATTCAGTTTGTAGATTCTAAACACTGAAGAGAATTAGCATTTTGAATCCATGAGATTCCTTAGTTTTAAGAATGACAGCTTTTAATATGCAAAATAAAATCTATGTGATTAAAGTCACAATAAAACAGAAGTAACAAACGTTCCTTACTGTGACTTACACAGAGTGTAATGGATTATCAAGGAAGAAAGTAGGTCATGAACTTGGTTCTATGCATCGGTTGTTGACTGAATGTTATCTTAAGATGACGGTGTTGCACTCAAAAGCCAAGGCAGATGAATGCAAGCTTGGCGGTGGAGGGGTTAAGAACACTAAATGATTGGAGAGGTCCTGCATATGTCATACAAGAGAGAATGATGTTCTTTTCACCTCAAGGTCAAGTTATGATATTGTGATTCAAAATTATGATATTGTGAGGTCAAAATTAAAAAGAAAGAAAGAAAGACGCACTGATAAACTGTACACAGTTAGATCATGTATTTCGAAAATAGGGTGAATTTTTATTTTATGCCAATGTTAAAATTACTTGAAGAGGTCTTTTTATATAACAAATTACACAGTCAGACCTCCAACTTGTGTTATCAACACTATTAACCAAGGAATATTATTAATATAATATCACACTTATTTTCTTTTTTTTTAATCAAAAACTGCTATTCTAAAAACTGAAATTACTGAAGGAATCCAGGTCAAATTAGCCTTTTGTGCTTATTTACAAATTTACCTCACGACAGAAATAAACGCTTTAGCCTGTAACAATGAAAGTATCCATATGGTGGATTACTGATGTTTACTGATGTCACATTCACCCCGACAGGATGAAAGCAAGTGTCAACAGCTAATGCGTATGAAGCAAATGATCAACTTATTATAGACTGGTCAGACTGGTCATTTTCGAATTAGTTAAACCTGTATCCTGTCTTCTGAGTGATATTCTCAATGTTACTCAAAAGACAGGATACAGGTTTAACTAATTCGAAATACAGTGTGCTTAATTTTACACTGTCAGATATTCAAAAGAAATCTATCGTATCTCTTGCTCTGGCTACTGTGTATAGACCACCAGGGCCGTATACATATTTCCTAAAAGAATTTGCAGATTTCCTCACAGAACTATTGGTTACTGTTGATAATGCGCTAATTGTCGGAGATTTTAACATTCACGTTGATAATACAAATGATGCATACTTCAGCTTCATTTATCGCACCAAAAGATTAACTGCAGTGCTTTACAACTATAGGACAGGAAGAGCTAAATAAACTTATCACTGCATCTAAACCAACAACATGCCTGTTAGATCCTGAACCCTCTAAATTACTAAAAGAGTTGTTACCTGTAGCAGAAGAACCACTTCTCAAAATTATTAACTCGTCGTTGTCTTTAGGTCACGTCCCAAAACCATTCAAGCTGGCGGTTATTAAGCCTCTTATTAAGAAACCACAACTAGATCCTAGTGAACTGGCAAATTACAGACCCATTTCTAAGCTTCCTTTTATGTCTAAAACTTCAGAAAAAGTTGTGTCTGTTCAATTGTGCTCCTTCCTGCAAAAAAATTATTTCTATGAAGAATTTCAGTCAGGTTTCAGGCCCCACCATAGCACAGAAACTGCACTTGTTAAAATTACTAATGACTTGCTTCTTGCATCAGAAAAAGGCTGCATCCCATTGCTAGTTTTACTTGATCTTAGTGCTGCGTTCGACACTATAGATCATGACATACTCATAGATCGATTACAAAACTATACAGGTATTCAAGGGCAGGCTTTAAAATGGTTTGGATCCTACCTGTCCGATCGCCACCGCTTTGTTTATTTAAACGGGAAGTCATCTCAATTATCACCAGTAAAGTATGGAGTGCCACAAGGATCTGTCCTAGGTCATTTTCAATATACATGTTGCCCCTTGGTAATATTATTAGAACGATCCTCATACTGTGACCCTCACGGTGTGTGTAATACATGAGCTCATTATGAACTCAAAAGATCCTCGTACTTTGATCCTCACGGTGTGAGTATGTGAGCTCATTGTGAGTTTCAAATTTTGAGCAGGTTGAGAGAAGGCAGTTCAAATATTAGTCACCGGGGATAAGATCATCTACATCTTGGTTAAGATTACTAAAAGTTTCGCACCTACAGCACACATTACATCTATTGATGCAGAAATGCAGATATGTTCTACATGTCTAAAGTATATAGAGAGATAAACCTTATAAACTGTTTGATTTTGTGTAACAACTTAAATCTGCATATACAATAAAATATAGTATTAATTTAGATCTCTCTACAGTAAGGATGTTGCAGGTTTTAATAAAACATTATTTAATAACATTAGTAAGCTAAATAAGATTATTTCCAGTATGTGCCTCAGGCTTGCAAAGTATTGCCAACTCCTTTATGAGCATCAACGGTAATCCTCGGCAAACTTTCAACACTTCGACGGTCAGCAAACTTTGGCTGTGCGTCTTGCGTCATCAGCCTGGAACTAAAGTTCAATTCAGTTCGGTTACTTCCTATGAACAGGCTCAAAGAACAATTTGTTCAGAAATCGAACATCAAATTTGAAGCAAAAGCAATAATTAAAGCATATATCGTTAAGGAGTGGCAACAAAAATGGGATAC